GCAGTGGGAATGTGAGAAGCAGACGGTGCACAGCTGAATGTGTCTGTTGTTTATTCCCCGACCAAACCCGACAAAACGTTCCTGCTTTTATATGAAACCAAAAGTTATACACAACCATATTCACATAAACAAATCTACCCAGATAAATCAGGGCTTCTTTAGCTTGATGTCTACAGAGCTCATGTTCTACACTGAAATGTAAATATATGAATATAAGCTTTTTAACATTCCCAAAGGGGCTGGGGTTGTGGCTCAAGTGGTAGCATGCTCGCCTGGCATGCGCGAGGCACTGGGTTCAATCCTCAGCACCACGTAAAAATAAAATAAAGATACTGTGTCCACCTTAAAAAAAAAACTAAAAAGTAAATATTAAAATAAAAACATTCCCCAAAACATTGGCCAATTCAACTCAAAACTACAGCTTCCTTTCTTAAATTACTAAGGGAACCAGGGCTTCCTGCAAAACCAAACTTAGTTTTGCAACCACTGGAAGAAGATGAGTCAGCACCCCGCCACCCCTCTCCCTCTCCGTACCTTAATTTACTTGTGCCTGATAATCCACTGAGGTGGTTTCCGACGTAGAGGAGAGGCAAAGGGAACAGCTTCAAATAAAATTAGAAAGAGACAGAAAGAAAATTTGATTAGAATTCCAACAGTATGTCTTCCTCTGCATATAAAAATGGTAACACTCATTTTGAGCAGCAGGCAAATCATATGGGTTCCTTTGTCTGCTCAATGGTGGGTTTTCCAGAATCTACAATATAGTCAGGGGTTTCCTCTGTGTGTTATCCGGGGGTGGGTCAGGGGGCACGAGGTAAAGAAACTGAACCCTTGACCTTGCCCATTTTAACAGAATATTTACCTAAAGGATGTCAACAAGGAACTCTCTTGCAGGGAGACCCAGGTTGGACTGTGAGTTGAAGATGGCTATCTGTACTTTGTGGTTAGCAAAGGCCAGAGATAAGGTGTGTCGATTCTTTCTGTGCCTGGATTTACTCCTCTGGACCAAGGAGCCTCCTGTCTCTTACTGAAAGGTCACCAGGTTAGTGACCCTTTCAAGGTGCATGCTGGCCACATTACTTTGGAGTTACTTTATCTGTTTTAAAGGTCTACAGTGATTAAACATCTACTAAGGTCAAACAGGGTAACCTTTGTATTTGAATTGGGTTCACCACCAACTGAGCTCCTGAGCTATTTTCCGATTGTCAAGAGAAATACTATATCAAACATAATGGAGAAACCCTCAGAATGTAAGATCTAGTCTTGAACCCGGAAAAGAAAGTATCCTTTCATAAGATCCTATGATAACTCAGCACTTATTAACTGATCTAATAGTCCACAGCTATCAAGGGGAGGCCAACATTGCTTTTTCTGCTAATAGGACCTTAAGCACGCCACTCAGATAAGATATACTTTGAAAGGTTTTGCAATACTGCCATCTACCAAAAATAGTTATAAAATTTTATGAGCAGATTTGACCAAGAAAGAGAATATAAGGAAGATGGGATCATGGATCTAGAAAGTTCCCCTTTCCTAGTTAAAATTCTGGCTAACAGCCTACAAATTACTCAACAAGAACAAAGCTGGCAGGATCACAACCTAGAGGATCTGGGTATCGAAAAGGACCCGTGAATCTCATTTCCATTTATAATTCGAAATAAAAACAGTACTGACTTCTAGGTTCTGGTAACAGTAAGTTAGATTATTTATGCTAAAATTCCTGGCTGAGAACGATTTTTTTTATAATGCTACATTAAATAATTTAAAATCTTCATAAAAGAGCTGGAAAGACAGACAGGAACCCCTTGGCCAAAGATGAAAGGAAAAACAGAGCCCAGAGACACAAGGTCAGCCAGAGGGCGGCAGAATTCTATCTCCACTGTCGAGCCATGCTGGAATTCTTCCCCTTTCAAAACCAAAGGTGAAATTTGGACTTCTCCAGATGTTAAAAGAATTACAACAAATCTAGCTTTGTAGCTCTTAATTGGCTTTATTTCAATTTTAGAATTGCGAAGCCATCCAGACCAAAGACGGTTCAGAATGCAGGGCCCCACCGTGGCGCAGGCCCCACGTGGAAGATGGAAGTGAGGCCCAGCGACGGGCCACTTGGTTATAGTTCAACTGGTTACAGCTCCCAGCTGTCCTATTTGGATGCTCTGAACCTTTGTCCACTTGTAATTGGCTGAGACTCAGCTCCTTATTACAAGAGAGGTTACAGTCCACTTACACACCAAGTTAGTTTATAGGTCACTATTTTCAAATCTTTAGGCCAAACTTAAAGTATATACAGAAGCAGCGTCAGGCCAAACTTAACCACAGACCAATGAAAACCATGGTAATCCACAGGAGCAGATCATCACTACCGTAAATTCTACAGGAAGCACTCTGACCAGTAAGAAAAAGCAAAGTGTGAGATGCACAAAGAATAGAAAAGGAAGCAGTAAATATATGGGTAGATATAAATATTTATTTTTTAAAAAAGAGGAGATAAAAATATATTGGAAATTCTAAGGTAACTACACTAAAAGAGCAGGAACAGAAAAGTTCTACCCACTTCATAGGTAAGATTTACCAATTTAAAATTTTAAGCAGCTAGTGATATAGACTCAAAATTTTTAAAAAAATGAAAACAACTCTAAAAACCCTGACAGAAAAGCCAAGAAAAAAGTCAAGTCCACACTCTCACAGGTGACAGGACAGTCTCTCCCATCCCATGTGTTCTTCTTTTTTTTTCTCATATAAAAATAATTACATTTTTAATAGTTGAAAGCTTTTGACAGAACTTTCTTTTTTTATTCTAATTTGTTATATATGACAGCAGAATACTTACAATTCATATTATATAGAGAGCACAATTTTTCATATCTCTGGTTGTATATGAAGTAGAGTCACACCATTCGGGTCTTCATACATGTACTTAGGGTAATGATGTCCATATCATCCCACCATATTTTTTATCCCCATGTCCCCTCTCTTCCCTTCAAAATGTGAGCCAGATTCAATACTTTAAAGATGTCAATCCTGCTCAAATTGATTTATAGTTGCAATGGAATCCCTTCCATCCAGAGGTAGAGCTTATGTCCCTTCTTAAATTTGGGTGTAACTGTTATGACTAATACAGATGATATGTGACCTATGAGAACAGATCATAAAAGGCAATGCAGTTGGGGTCTTGCTTGCCAGAACTGTCACCCTTAAAGCCTGTGGCCTCCAGATAAACATTCTTAACCCCTTGCCCACCATCTTGTAAGGAAGCCCAACTAGCCTACACTGGTGACCATAAGGTGAAACTAGGAGATAACAGTAAGAGAGATTGAATGATCAGCCTCCAGCTGCACTAACCAATTCCTTAATTAATTCAGTTCTAGCCACTGTCTGTCTACAACTATATGGGAGCCCTAAACCAGAACTGCCCAACTGAGCCTTTCTGAAACTCTTTAATTACTATGAGAGATAATACAATGACTATTGTTTGAGTCACTAAGTTATAAAGTCAAAATAAGTGGAAAGTATCTACCAAAAACCCCACTTATTGATGAACTAGTAAAAGCTTTCCCTTTGAGATCAAAGAAGCCCATTGTTACCATTCCTATTAACAAATACTATATAGTAAAGCAAGTAAAAGAAATGAAAATTAGAAGGTTGAAATAAAACTGTAATTTTTGTTGTTTACATAAAAACCCAAAGGAAGCTACAATAAATCATGATTAATATTCCACATTTTTCAATTCCAAAACAGTATAGAAAAGTTATTATATAGTATGTACCTCTAACTTGCCAAATAATATATTTTTAAAGATGTGTGTGTTTCCTATATCATCTAGAAATGCAAAGGGCCAAGAACAGGATGGGAAGCCTTGCTCTCCTGGATATCAACACTTTCCAAAAGCTACAGTAATTAAGAAAGTGTGATGATGGTGCAGGAAACACAGACAACGGAAAGAGCAAAGGCATTCCAGAAACAGACCCATTCCCATGTGATCAATGGTGCTGTGATACAAATGACACAACAGAGAGGGCACATTCTTCAATAATCTGTGACAACTGAGTATCCACAGGTGGGGGATGGAACTGGACCTTCACCTCACACCATATGCAAAAACCAGTCCCAAACGCATTAAAAACCTAACTCTGAAAAACCACATGCCTCTTATCTAAAACAAAACAAACAAACAAACAAACAAACAAAAAAGAACCTTGTGATTCTGATGAGGGTAGGGAAGGATTTCCTAAGTAAGAAAATTAATGATTAATCAAAAAGACTGATAAAACTGAACAGCATTAAAATTAACAACTCCTCTTCATTAAGATGCATGATTAACACAATAAAAATACAAGGCACAGAGAGGAAAAATGCATCCTAGAGTATCGTACACAACTAAGAGAATTCTCCTCAATATTTTTTGAAACACATACACCAATCAGAAAAAAATAAGCTCAAGAGGAAAATGGACAAAAGTCTTGCAGAGCCCTTCACCAAAGAGGACACTCAGTGGCCACTGAACAATGAAAAGGTGCTCAGCCTCCTCAGGGAACAGGGACATGCAAATTAAATCCTACCAGATCAGCAAAATCTAAAACAACTGGCAAACTAAAGATTGGCAACAGGGACGCCTATGCCTGCTCATCAGGGTGTGAGCTGGTGCCTCTCTGGAAAGCAGTCTGACCCCATCGGCCAAATTTAAAGACACCAGGAGGAGCCAGCAATTGCACTCCTTGATGTACACACAGAGAAACTGGTGCATACGTGCTCTTATGACCAGAACCTTCTGTCCCCTCCAAAGTGACAGTAGTGGAAATAGGGCCATGAAAGAGATGATCAAGGTCATATGGGTGGGGCTTTTATCCAATAGGACTGGTGTCCTAATAACAAATGAATAGACAGCAACCGTGGGCACACACACACAGAGGAAAGGCCACATAAGGCTGAGAGAGAAGGCAGCTCTCTGCAAGCTAAAAAGTGAGACTGAACCAGAAATTAACCCTGCCAGCATCTTCTTCTTGGATTTCCTGGTGAGAAAATACATTTCTGCTGTTTAAGCCACCCAGTCCGTGGCATTTCACTTTAGTAGCATTAGCTGACTAACACATGTTCACTGAGTTTCGACCCAAAGCATGTTCAGAGAAGTACTTTTTGTTTTTCCTAGCCCCTAAACTGGAAATAGCTCAAATTACCACAAACAATAGAAAAGATAAGTAAATGAAAATAGAAGATACAGCATGAATAAATCTAATCACAATATCAAGTGAAAAAAAAGTAAGATACTAAAAAATATAGAGAGTTTGATTCCCTTTACATAAAGGGCAAAAACAGATAAAATTAGACTATAGGATTTAGGGAATGTATAAAATTTTATAAAGAAAGCAAGTTATTATGTGCCTGGGATGTGTCTCAGTGGTAAGCTTTTGCGTGGCATGCTAAAGGCCCTGGCTCCCTCCCTAACAACACACGCACACACGCACACACACACACTCACACACACTTACAAACACACACACTCACACAGTTATTACTTATAACATTCAGAATAGTGGGTAATTTGCAGTTCCACTTCATGAGCTAAGTAATCATTCTCAAGGGTAATTATTCACTCAATTATCTATTCAAGCATGATGACTTATTCTCTATGTATA